TGGAAAACTTTTGGCATGAAGTTGTATGGAGAAATTAATTCTAAGAAATGGAAATCCAACCATAACCCTGCAATAGAGGCAACTTCACATGGGGTGATAGTTAAAGTTTTATGTGAATTTGGCTGGCCAGGATTCTCAGTGATTTGCAATTAAGACCGAATAATCCCCCATGATCAGATCTACTATGAAGCGATCATTCACATGATGACACATTTGAGCAGCCAATCAATTGAAAAAATATCCCAACAAGATTGTCACCTGTTTGCAGTGGACCACTGGGGAACCATTCTTGCTTTTTGCTGGGTCTGGGTCCTGCATCTGGGTGAGCTTCTCATCTGAGCTCCAACTGACCCAGAAGCCAGCTGCATAGACTTGAGCCAGCAACCTGCTGTACTGCCTGCCAATCCTAGCAATTGTCAGCATTCTGCAGCTTACCTGTCAATCTTGGATTCATTCGCGTCTGTAACAAGAAGATTGCTGTTTGACCTGCCCATTTTTTTCTCATCAGTTCTTGTAGCTGTACAAGTCAGGGAAAGACTTAAGCCTGACATCTGACCCACACACTGGAAGTTGTCCAGCTCTATAACTATGTGAGCCAGTCCTAACATGAACCACTCTGTATGTGTGAGTATATATACTAGTTTTGTTTTTCTACAAACCCAGTCTGAGACTGTTGGATTTAGTAATAATTTGGTAACTGACTGCCTTTCATAGAAGAGAGATATTCAGGCTGTTTTCAAACTTTTTTACAATGAGATTTAAAAGTCTATGGAGTGATACTTATGAATAAAGTACCAACCAATAATTTATGTACATCTTAATTATTATTTAAAAATAAACAAATAGACAGATATACGTGAACATGGAGTAACTTGTGGAATGTACCTACTCAATATGAGCACTTACTCAGTAAGCTAGAGGATGACATTCGTTAGAATGAATAAGTGGAAAAAATGGCGCAAAACGACTAACAGTAAGCAAGGAGTCTTAGTAACTGGTGGACTAATATTAAAATAAATAAATTGATGGCAATAGATACAAAACAAAATATGAATGTAATAAAAAGGATATAATGAATAAAATTTGAAAAGGGCGTGGAGAGATAGAAAAGCATATATAGTCATTCATTGTTTTATAGCCAAGAAGGTAAAAGATACTAGTTAAAGCTGATCAATTTAACATGAAATATCAGTAAATTTAAATTTATTTAAATATTTTTAAATGCAAGTAAAAGAAGGTTGCAAACAATGAACAATCGCTGATGGGGAGTGAAGGCAAATACAAAGAAGAGATATGTCCTAATTACATCATGGCTGTCTTAAGGAATCAATAGACACACACACAAGCTATGCTAGACAACAGGCTACACATCACATATAGATATTTTTAAAAGGAGCCCTGAAACAGCATTACATAAATAAAATACAAAGAAGTAAGACCCAGCACAAAAGATTAAAAGAACCTCAAATATCCCACAGAAGGTCAGTTTATTTCTAAGGTACCTAGCGAGTGAGTGCTAAAATTTCCCCGTGGTATCATTGCAAGATAAAACCTGTGGCTGCCATTAGATTCTCTTTGTGTGAGAATTCACTTACTTACTTGCCATTCTCTTTCTTTGTGGAAGATGGGAATTATTATATTAATCCTCTCTTTCCAGGTGGGAAGAAAAAAAAGATAATTTAATTCCCAAGAGGGTTAGGGTTACTTTGGGCAAAATATCTAAAAATAATAAATGCCAGGCTATCGAATTAATGTTATTGCTTAGGAAATGACGAGCACTTGAAGGCTTCTGAAAACAAAAAGTAAATGAGGAAAATCAGTAGATTCGGAGGACGAATTTGAGTGATCTGGGAAGAAAGAGAGGAACCCTCCAACGTTGGAGCTGGAACAAATCTGAGAAGGCAGAAATAAGGTGGTCCATAAGGGACACACGGCTTTCCAGACAGAGTTGGTGGTCGAATCCACATGTTCTCACATTCCGGCTTTCTTAGGCAGACCACGTGACTTTTACTAAAGGCTAATACTGCCATTTCCATCCGGCTACTTGTTGGCCGGAGGACATCAAAGATGACCGCATGATCCCTAGGAACTAAGAGCAGCATGATATTATTGTCGGGAAAATTATGTTCTAAAAAAAGAAGACACTTTAAATAATTCATTATGAACTTTCTTTTTCATTCTAGGTAACGCAGATCGTGACGAAGTCATATGTATGTATTGGTCTCCTTTATCTCTTGTCTGATTTAACTTCTCTATGTGAACTCCAACTTTCAATTCCTTCTCTATTTACAGATTACCGATATTGGTATCCAACGTGGGAAAAGCCCCGGCCACTCATATGTAATCCAGTGTGCATATTGACCTTTATATTGCGACTACTGTGTTTTATACTAAGTACAACAGTAGTTGTGTTGGTACAGAAACACTTTCCAAATATCTTAGTGGAACAAGAGATGTATTTTACCCCTGATGAATTAGAAGAAAGCAAAGACAGGAAGTTGAAGGAAGAGAAAATGCAAAAGGTAGAAGAGAAACAGGAAGAGACAGAGGAAGATGAGACAAGGAAAGAGGGGGTAGGAGAGCACACAGAAGAGAGAGAAGAAGAAGACAACGCAGAAGAGGGCAAAACAGAAGAGGAGGAAGAGGAAGAGGAGGGGGAGGAGGATAAGGGGGAGGAGGGGGAGGAGGATGACTGATTACTAACATAAGCCAAAAGTATAATTGTAAGCAAAAAATAACAATAAAACACTGAGCTTTAACAAAATGAAAATATGCAAATCACCACTGCAGTATCTTTTATTCCCTTCTCTTTGCCATACTTATTCAGCAATAATTGGAAAAATAAGAAAACTATGTACTATGTAGTATTGCAAGCTACTGGACATGGAGAGCAGTAAAGATGTAATGATAGAAAAAGCAATCTTTGGTATTTCACCACGGTATCCTGTTGAACAAGGAAGTATCCATTTTATAAATATGTTTGTATATCTATTTTTTAAATGAACCAATAAATATTCTCAGCATTAAATAAGATTATTTATACATGTAAGGTACTTAGGATTATTCTAGGTTCCAAAGAACCAATAAATACACATTGGTTTTGTTGTTTATCTGAACACTCCCATAGTCATTATTGCTGGTGGTGGCGGCTTGATTTTCCAAGTGCTCTCGCGGCATCTGCTATCATTCTTGTGATGTGTGTGCGGAAGGATTGAAGTGGGACCGGTACCTCCTACTAGGAGACAAACTTTCCATTTTTACTTCCTGCTCAATATTTCATTGAACTCTTTATGTAATCCATGACTAAGCTTATAATGTATTGCCAGCAAGTGCTAATAAGTGCCAGACTCTATTTATTGGCATGGTTGCCCTTTCATTGAATCAATATTGTATTAATAGTCTGTTCTAAAATGGGGCGTGTTGAGAATTATATGAAGAAATCCTGGAGCCTCCTCTAGGGTTTGAGAGTTTCAGAAGCTGTTTGTTTGTTTGCTTTGTCTTTTCATATTGTTCATTGCTTTTCTTTTGTTTTCCCTCATGAACTGCAGTTTTGGGGAGATTAAACTTTACTTTTGCTTCTAGGCATCAACCTTTTTTCACCCAGCCTCGAGTGACGTGTAAGTAGAGGAAAGGGCTATTTCTTGACAGTGACTTATTGACTTCTTTATTGTGGTTTGGGTCAACACTTACATGGAAAATTGCTTTCACATTCAACAATTCATACACATTTTGTATGTGACATTAACTGCAATCCCCACAATGCAACAGCACTATTTCTACTTCCTCGCTGTGTTTATCATTTCGTTTTGTCCTTATTTCCTATCCCTGCCTGCCTTCTGGGTTTTTCCCAATGCAAATGTTGCCCTTTGATCTCATATGGTAGATTGTCTAGGGAGTGCACACCACCCCGTGTTCCCACTCACATTATAGACTTGTTTAGCTAAAAGTTGAGCCATGGAGACGAAAGGCTTGGGGGGGTCTATCAAACCAGTAAGATTTATTTTTGTTTGTTTGTTTTTGTTGTTGTTAACACTGGGTTTTTGTCCTGCATTTTTCTCCCATCTCCCACTCTATCTCAGACCACCTATGGTGATACTTTTCAGAGGGATTGGCAGAATAGCCCAGCACCTTCCAGTTCTTCTGGTCGCAGAGCAATGGAGGCGGTAGATGGTTGGTCAATTAGTCCATCGGACTAATTATTTTCATGTGTCTTTGATTGTCTTAACGTTCTTTGATCCAAGTAGGGTCAGAGAAATAGCTGCACCTCACATGGCTCCTCACAAAGTTCTAAGCCCCTAGTTGTTATTCCCCAGAGTAGAATGTAGAACTTTGTAGATTATATTATGATCAGTTACCTCCATGGCTCCGAAGAGAATGGTCCTGAGCCCCCAGATCTAGTGAATCATTCCTGCAAGGTGCTTCGTTATGGCTGGAAAGTTTGAATAGCTTTACCCCTTGTATGTGCTACTATATTCATGGATATATGAGGGTAAGTAAATATACATTGTTATAAAGTCATACGATCCTTTATTAAACAATATCATCAAAATGTGAAGCCACTATTTCTCAGTATACTCTCCATCTAGGCCTGTACACTTCTGGATGGAATGTTGCTCTCTCTAACCCCTACCTAAAGATGTATGTGCTCTTTTATGTCAAGGCAACAGCTGTAGCATCTTGTTGTTGTTGTTTGTAAGATTGGCTGTGGGGACAACGTTGTTTGCTCCTTAGGCAAAAGGGATGGGACCACCAGTTGTTAAGAGCCTTTGAATCCGTTCAAACTCCTAGACAAACCCTATGGACAACTCGTACTGCCTGTCCCTGCACCATCCTCACAAATGTTATTTTTGAGCCCAATATTTTAGGAAATATGTCAATTTCAAGAGTCTTCCTCATTATCACCAACCTTCTACTTTACCAAGCATAATGTCCTTTCCCAGAGACTGGTCTCTCCTGATAACATGCCCATAAAACAGTCTCACCATCCTCATTTCTGAGGAGGATTCGGGGTGTACTTCTTTGAAAACAGACAGATGGTTTGTTCGTCTGGCAAATCAATGGTACTTTCAATATTCTTCACCAGTTGTTCTTAAGGGCCATCAAGGTGGTTCTGACCTATAGCGACCTTACGCACAACAGAATGAAACACTGCTGGTCCCGTGTCATCCTTACATTTGTTTCCATCCTTGAGCCCTTAGTTGCAGCCTCTGCGTCAATCCATCTCCTTGGGGCCTCTTCATTTTGCTACCTCTCTACTTCACCAAACATGATGTCCCTCTCCAGAGACGACTCTGCCCTGACTACATGACCAAAGGATGTCAGGCGAAATCTTGCCATCCTTGCCGCTAAGAGGAATTCTGGCCTTACTTCTTCCAGTAGAGATTGGTTTGTCCTTTTAGCAGTCCATGCTACTTTCAATATTCTCCTCCAGCACCACCATTCAAACACGGCAATTTTCCTTCAGTCTTCCTTATTCAGTGTCCAACTTTCACATGTGCATGAGGCAATTAAAAGTACTCTGGCTTGGGCCAGGTGCACCTTAGTCAACAAAATAGCATCCTTGCTGTTCGGTGCTCTAAGAGGCCTGGTGCAGCTGATTGACCTTTTGATCTCTGAAATTCAAACGTATCAGTTCTTCTTTCGGCTTCCTTACTCAACGTCCAACTTTCACATTGCGTGTGAGGTGATTGAAACAGGCACACCTACATCCTCAAAGGGACATTCTTGCTCTTCAACACTTTAAAGAGATCTGATGCAGCAGACTTGCTCAGTGAAATACAGTTTTGTTTTGCTTTGCTTTGTTTTACTACTGCTTCCATGAGCATTGAGTGTGGATTCAAGTAAAATGCAATCCCTGACACCTTGTCGTTTTTTTCTGTTTATCATTCTGTTTATTATGCTGTTGCCTGTTGGTCCGGTTGTGAAAATTTTATTTTATTGACATTGAGTTGTAATCCATATTTATAGCTGCAATCCTCATTCAGCCAGTGTTTCAAGTCCTCCTAACTTCCAGCAAGGAAGGGTATATCATCTGCATATCACAGGTTGTTAATACGTCTTCCTTTAACCCTGAGGCCAAGTGCTGCTTCACATAGTCCACTTTCTCAGATTATTTGCTCCTCATAGTTTGATAGTATGGTGAAAGGCTTGACACACTCATTTTTTAAATTTTTAAACCATGCAGTGTTTCCTTTTTCTATTTGAACTGCCCCTTAATCCACGCACAGGTTCTGCATAAGCAGTTAGTATTGTAGAAGTCTAATTTTCTCAATGTTCTCCATAGCTTGTTACGATGCACAAAATTTAAAGTCATAGCATAATAGTCAATCAAACACTGGTCAAAATCCTTCTGATATGTTCTGCTTGCAATCAAATTTCACCTGACGTCAACAATGACATCTGATCCTCTTCTGAACCCTGCCCTTGCCATGATGAATGGAAGAAGTCCTGGGAAATCCATCTACCATCAGAGTGCTGGCTGATCTCCCTGAGGAATTTCCCCATATTGGGACTCTGGATGCACCTCTCCTGCTGGCAAGTTGGGCACTCAGCAGGGGCAGTTGCTAAGATGGCCTTTATGAGTGAACGTTCATGATGCTGAGCCCAAACATGACCATCCTTGCCACAATGGCCACTCTCTTCCTGAGTCCATTGGACAATTACCGGAGTGGCTGAAGGAGGAGGATGACTGGTTTCCATAGACTCTGTCATCCTATCTACTGGATTGTTAAAACTCTCCTTTGGCGAACATTCACACAGGACACAAATAGCTTCACTTTGGGGACCCACTCAGATAAGTCCCTCCATGTATCTCTTTCCCACAACTCCTTTTCACCAATTTTAAAATCATACTATTTTTAAGTTCCTGACCATTCAGTTAAACTAATGGTAACATCCCATAAATCATTGGGTCATTTCTTTTTCCAAGAAAAATAAACCAGCAGGTGTACTGCTCAAAATTCTGCCCATTGGGAGGATTTCTCTTCGCTACTCCCCTTAGAGAAATCTCAGAAAGGGGTGGTAGTGCTGCTGATATGCATTGTAAAACAAGCATAACTTTTCTCTTCCTCAGTCGACTGATCATATGCAATTCCCCATAGGTGCACACTGGGAGTAGGACAGGACTGGCACAGGAGTGAAAGCCACAGGCATTTGGACCACTTCTTTATGCAGTTTACTTATACCTACTTGAGCTTGAACTTGTATACACCACTTCCATTTAATGACAGAGTGTTGTAATGCACTGCTAACTTTTGGACTGTCCATCTCCTGTAAACTAACTCAAGTCTAGGAATTGATTGAGGGATCATGACACTCTATTCTGGCAATTTGAGTTAGACTGTTGTTCACCTGACCTGGAACTTTTAAAAAAATTTTAATAAATCATTTTATTGGGGACTCTTACAGCTCTTATAACAATCCTTAAGTCCATTGTATCAAGCACTTTGTACTTATGTTGCCATCATCCTTTTCAAAGCATTTTCTTTCTACTTGAGCCCTTGGTATCAGCTCCTCCTCTTTCCCC